AAGGCCCAGATCTCCACTGTGGCCCCTGGGACCATGACCAGAGCCTCCGTCCTCCCCCACGGGAAGGCCCTGTCTTGGGAGTACTGAGCTGCAGACAGCCTCGCAGTGTCCTAGGACCTGCTTGGGTGATTCCCCAGCTCTGGGACCTGGAGCTTTTCCTGGTGCAGAGCAAAGATGAGGTTAGGGGCACAGGGAAGTGGGTGCTGGGCCAGGCTGGGGGCTTCAGAGGAGGCGGGGCCCCAGCACAGCTTCCTGGGCCCGGGATGCCCTGGTTTTACCTCTTGTGCCAGAAATGGAAGGAGGGGACAGAGGTAGACTGCTGAGATTCTGTCTCAATGGGGGAGGAGTTATGTCGTGCCAGCTATTAGTAAAATTCTGGCCTAATCAACAGGCCAAGTTTGTCTTCCTTGCACCCTCTCACCCCTTCCCACCAGAGCCACCTTTGCCAGCCAACCCCAGCAACCTCTGTCGAAGCTCCTGCGCTCTTGTGTTGGGGGATCAGGTCATTGTGATCCTCTGGACGGAAAGAGAAGAGATGGGCAGGAAACAAAACTAACGCCCATCAAATCCCTACGACGGGTCAGCTCTGGGCTGCTTGCTTTCCTAAAGGGTCAGAACAGACACTCTCTTAAAGAGTTGTGCTAGTTTAAAAGTTGCCCCTTTTCCCTGCCCCTAAGACATAAAATGTTCATTTATATCTTTCTAGACTTTCTCCTATGCACACTTGGGTTAATTCCACAAAAACGAGAAGATGCTAAGTGTTCTACGTGGATTATCTCATTTAATCCCTAGGTGCTATTACCCATACTTTACCTTTCAGGAAACTGAAGCTCAGAGAGGTCAGTGCTTTTCCTGAGGCCACACAGCTGGTAGCCCTGCCTCAACCCACAGCCCCACTCTGCATCCTGAGCGTCAATGGCTGAGGAAGGGCTGGCCTTGGCCCTGTCTGGGGGCATTTGGGGTTGTAGACCAGATGGGGTGAATTCTGCAGAAGGCCTGATCAGGCCCTGCCTTCTGCTGTGCCTGGTGACCCAAGCCTGGTGGCAGATTCCAGCCCCAGGAGTCCTTGTTAAGATTTTTGAAAAGGGGTTCTGGCCGGGCGCAGTGGCTCAAGCCTGTAATCCCAACACTTTGAGGGGCCGAGACGGGCAGATCACGAGGTCAGGAGATCGAGACCATCCTGGCTAACACGGAGAAACCCCGTCTCTACAAAAAAATACAAAAAACTAGCTGGGCGTGGTGGCGGGCGTCTGTAGTCCCAGCTACTCAGGAGGTTGAGGCAGGAGAATGGCGTAAACCCGGGAGGTGGAGCTTGCAGTGAGCTGAGATCCGGCCACTGCACTCCAGCCTGGGCGACAGAGCGAGACTCCGTCTCAAAAAAAAAAAAAAAAAAAAGAAAAGAAAAGAAAAGAAAAGGGGTTCTATTGCCATTTAATTGCAGCTTTGTCCTTGAAGCAGGTTCCCAGCTCCCAAGATTCCCAGCTGTCTGTAACAGACAGACTTGCCTTGGATTTCTCTTGCCCAAGGCCCTGGGTAGAGGCTAGTCTGGGAGTTGGGAGACCTGTGCCCTCACCGCTGTGTAACCGTGGCAGCTCCTGTCTCTCTGCCTTGATCATTTCTTTTCTTAAGTTCCTTTCACCTCCATGTAAGTGCTTGAGTCTTCCCCTAATTAGGGAAGGGTGGGGTCTGCTGGTTGGGTGAGGCTGGGGAAGGGCAAGGAAGAAGAGGAAGAACCAGGGTGGTGAAGAGGCGTCTGAGGCAGGCTGATAGGTTTTAAGGAGCAGAATGGAGAATAACTAGGTCTAGAATCCCTGGACCTGGGTCCAAATCCCAGTGAGGGGTGTATGCAGTTATGCAGGATCTGTACTCACAAGAGTCCACATTTGGCTTTATCTTCTGCTATTGCATCTTGAAATTCTTAATAATTTTTGAGCAAGGAGCCCAGCGTTTTCATTTTGTACTGAGCCCCACAAACTGTGTAGCCAGCCCTGTTACCTTGTATTAACTGTGTACCCTTGGGCAAGTTACTTCGCCTCATAGACTCAGTTTTCTCATCTGCAAAATGGAGCAGTGCTACCACCACCCTAGAGGACTGTTCCGAGAATGAAACGAGAGACTCCCAGTAAAGAGTCAGGCAGTGGTGAATCCGTGACAGGACTCAATTCCTGGTGCTTGTGACAGTCACTCTCTAGGGGCCTGAGCGGGAGAAACGTCTCCCAAGGAGCCGCAGCCTCTGCCAGCCTTGTCTATTGTGCTCTCTCAGCACCTATGGGACACTTCAGGCCAAAAATGCAATTGTCACTGGAAAGCAAATAGTGCCACCATCCCCACTCCAAACCTACCTTCCCTCCCCCACCTATGGCTGTATGGGGTCAAGTGGTTTACAGACTTTAACTTCTGGGAAGTAAAGTCCTGGAATGTTTGAGCGTGGGAAGGGACGAGGGTCTGGCGCGCCTTCTCCAGCATCTGCTTCTGGCCAGAGGAGGCTCAGTGGTCTGCCTGTCCCCAGTGAAGGTCCCATACCCAGAGGTGCTAATGGAGTCTTTCCCAAGAACAGCCTCCTGCTGTAGGATCCCCTATCAATCAGCTTCAAGGTCCTAACAACTCAACCTCCCAGATGGTTCTGGATCTTGACTTTCTGGATTAATATCGGAACTGTTTTCTAACAGTGAGATTTTGGGCAAGTTACTTAAGCCTCTCTGGGCCTCAGTGTTGCCCTCTGTGAAATAATAGCTTTGACCTCAGTGTGTCATGAAGATGAACGAACCCCTGCATGGAAGTGCTTAGACCTGTGCCACACAAACATGAGTCACTCCCGCTGCCGCGCTGCCGGCCTCACCCCTACTCTGAGCCAGAGAGCATGCTCAGAAATGCTCTGAACATTTCTGAGTGGGCAGAGATGGTGATGAAGCTGCCTCCTCCTTAAGCAGGCTGCTTTCTGAACCAGCTCCGGCTCTGACCCTGTGACTCTTTCCAGAATTTGTTGGAAGCCAGCACTTGTTGAAAGTTCCCAGGCATCTTGGTGGCAGGAACTGAAGACTTGGGGGTGATGGGGCTGTACCAGTTATAGGGCTGCAAGCAAAACAAGCCCCCTACAGAGTGGCACCCTCAACCTCTCCAGAGCTGGGGATGCAGCCCAGTTGTCCCTGAGCCTCCACGGAGGAGCACCTGTGGGTTCTGTTGCTCAGCTGTCCTGATTCTCTGGGAACAGCGCCAGGGTTTGCACTGGGAAACTTCTGGGCCCCATGGCAGGCTCTTAGGATATGAGTGTCAGTCAAGCCAAGGGGTGGGCACATGGCCCAGGCTCAGCCAATTGGGCACCCTCTCTTGATTCTTGAGAATGGAGAAGATGATGAAAAGGGGTTGGGAAGGATTCATTCTGGGAGCGCCTCCCTGAGTTCCTGCTGCGTGGATCTCCAGGGCTGCCCTGGGCGCCTGTCCTCTCTGGATTTGCAGCTGGATTTTCAGCGTTTCTTCTGATTCTGTGCCTCCCTACAGCCTCCCATGCATCCCTCCTTGCCCAGAGTAACCCGGGCAGTCTCTGCTGCTGGCTGATACCCTTTGGCTCCCGCCAACACCTTCACCAGCCACGGTCCAAACCACTCCCACCCTGATAGCCCCCTTCTGCATTGAAGGCTCTGTCTACGGTTCGCACAGGCTGTGTAAGCTATTCTGTGCCTCCAAACCTTTGTCCCTGCCATTCCTTCTGCCACAATGCCCTTCCCACCTTCTCCTCTCATTCTTATCCTCGTGAAACACCTCGGACACTGCCGATTCTGGGGAACTCCCCCACCCCTCCTCGAACTGGGCCGACTCCTTCTCTGGGCAACCCCAGCCCCTGAGCTCCTCTCCCTCTGCATCCATGCCGCCCACACCTGCATCCACCTCCCTTCTGAGTCTGAACCCAAGGCCAGAGCCAGGACCCTTCACCTTCATTCTCAGTCGGTGCTCAGCACATAAGCGAGGGGCTCTAGGACCATGGGGAGGCAGCCCCGGGCACCTGTCAGGGACTCCTGAGCTGGCAGGGGCTGATCTCACTGCCTGCTGGTGAGGGATCATGAAGGGGATGAGTCCAAATCCCTGCCCCTGCCCCCAGCCCAGCCCCGACCCTGGCCCCAGCCCCAGCCCCAGCCTTTGATCCAGATCTTGCCCCAGCCTTGCCCCAACTCCAACCACAGACCTGAAACCCCAGCCCTTGCTCTGCCCCCGAATGGACCCCAGCCCCTCCCTCATTCCTGGCCCCTTCTCCAGCTCAGGCCTTGCCCTGGCTCCTACCTCCTTCACCCTCTCTGGGGATCTTTCCTACCCACAGCGTTCCTCCCAAGTGGAGCCCACACTGAGCTGTGACTTCCCAGGAGTCATCTGAGGTGACCCAGCTCTGAGCCAATGGAAGCCTTTGAGGGGGAAGGCCAGGTCAGCCAGCATGGTGGTGAGCGTGGTGGTGGTGGGATGTCAGGGTGGGCATGCGGCCCAGCCCTACCCACCCCACCGTCCCTGGTGGCACAGGTCCAGTAGCTCCAACAGGAGGTTCAGGGCCAAGCCATAGGCAGGGGCAGTTCCCAGACGTGGGTCCTTCAGCTTGCTCCCACTCCCTGCACGGAGCCAGCCCTGGTCCTGAGCCATGGGTGGGGCTGAGCCTTGGGGGGCTGAGCCTTGGGGGGCTGATGGGGAAATGCCTGAGCTGCAGCCACCAAACTCAGGTGGGATGGTGTCGAGGGAGAGTCCCAGGACAGGCCAATGGGAATTGGGCAGCCCATAAAGTAGACCAGCCTGGATAGAAAGGACAAAAATAGCCCAAGTTTCCCATGGGGTTGCCAATGCCCTTCCTCCCCATCTTCTTGGGAACGGGACTGGGCGGTGGGGGTGGGAGGTTTTAGGACCATGGAGAATCTGGACCTCCACACGTGGATCCTGCAATGGACACATCATGAGGACAGAAGCCAGCATTGTGATGTCACAGCCTGGCTGTGGCTTTGTGCTCCTGGAGCTGTAGGTGAGTCAGCTAGGCCCCTTCCTCCTATAGTGCCTGTCTACCTGTGTTTGATGCTTAGGCCTAGAAAGGTTGACTTTGTAGCCCCTCACCTTCTCTCCTCAACGCACTGGGCTGGTTCAGCAGTTGACCAATGAGGGTCATGCTTGCGTACCAGCCTTGGGCGAGTGGCCCAGGAACTGTTTGCAAGGCTGTGTTGAAACTACTTGTAACTAGACCATCTTCCCAGCTTGACCATGAGCTTGTTCGAAGCATCTCTGCTTAGTCTCCACTGTAGTTCTGCAAGCACTGTACGAGCTCAGAGCATGTAATGTTGGTTAAGTGAATAAATGCGTGGATGGGGGTGGGTGGGCAGAGATGATAATGAAGCTGCCTCCTCCCTAAGCAGGCTGTTTTCTGAACCAGCTCAGGCTCTGACCCTATGACTCCTTCCAGAATTTGTTGGAACCCAGCACTTATTGAAAGTTCCCAGGCATCTTGGTGGCCAGGAACTGAAGACTTGGGGGTGATGGGGCTGTACCAGTTATAGGGCTGCAAGGGAAACAAGGCCCCTACAGAATGGCACCCTCAACCTCTCCAGAGCTGGGGATGCAGCCCGAAGACCTTGGACTTGGGATTTAATGAGCCTTGGGTCCTCATCCAGTTCTGCCAGATGACCTTGAACTGGTTACAGCCCCTCTCTGAACCTCTGTCTCCTTTTCTGTGAGGTGGGGATGCTAACCCTGGCTTCCGAGGATCCGAAGAAGAAGCTGCAGTTGTGACTGTTCCTTTTTGGTCTGTCTTCATCCTGCCTGGCTCACTTGGCTTCTGTCCTCCTGCGTAGCTTGTGGCAGTGGGGTGATGGCAGCCATGGACACAGGCCAGAGAGCTGGCCCAAGCAATCCTGGTGACAAGGAAGAGGACCTTCAAGGGCTGTGGCAGGAACTCTACCAGCTCCAGGCTAAGTACGCATTGTGCCAGCCCTGCCCCAGCCCCAGCCCCAATGCCTCCCTGGTGGGCTAAGTGGCTGGACTGAGCAAACATGTCCCTGAGGAGGCCAGGACAGGGGGTGGATGAAGAGGGCAGTGTGGTCTGGAAGCAAATGGGTGGGGCAGGGCTGGGCGACAGCTGTGATGGGAGAGAGAAGAGGTGTGGCTATTGCCCTTTGGCCTCAGATCTTGGGCCAGTCCTGGGCCCTCTGCTGGCTGGGCCTCTACATCAGGAAGGAGGACTGTGGGGAGAGAGAAGAGGTGTGGCTATTGCCCTTTGGCCTCAGATCTTGGGCCAGTCCCGGGCCCTCTGCTGGCTGGGCCTCTACATCAGGAAGGAGGACTGTGGGTGACCATCCGTCTGCACCTGTCCACTCGGCCCCTCTAAGGCCAGTCTACAAGATTGCCGCCTTGACTCTTAGTGGGGACCCTGGGTCCTCACCCCATGAGGATGGGAGGTTGGGGAGATGAAATTTCAGACTACACACAAAAACCTGAATTAGATGCAAAAGGACGTGTCTCTGCAAAGTTTTATGAAGGGCCAACCATTCCAACAGATTTTGAGGGCTTCCTGATTCCAATAAGGTTTAGCACCGTCATGGCTCACAGGGCCCCATGTGGTATCTGTGGGAAGGATGATATTGTTCTGCACTTTTCAGAACCATATGGATGAGAAAGGGGGGCCCACAGAGGCAGAGTGGCTTGCCCTGGGCCACTCAGAGACCCCCAGCGCAGCCCCTGTTGGATAGCCAGAGAATGGGTTGGGAGCTCAGCCAGCTGGCCAGGCCATGCCCTGCTCTGGTCTCTGCGCTTGACTGCTGACCTTGGCTGGGTCCAGAACAGGTGATCTGTTGGAGACTTGCTTAGGGATTCCCCGAAGAGTCAAGTATGGCCAGGCAATAGCAAGTGGCCCTCTCCCCTCCGGGATTGGTGGGGAACCCACCTCTGATGGAACGCTCCCAATACACTTGGCGCCCCATGCATGACCCTGGTCAGCAGCTCACATCACCCCTGCTGTAGATGGGCTACCCAGGCACAAAGAGGTGAAGCACTTGGTCCAACATCACCAGCTAGTAGGTGCTGGCCTGTCTCCCGAGATGGGAGGCACCTGCACAGCCACCAGAGGAGGCATCGTAGACTCTGGCCAGAAAGACTTGGCCTTCGAGTCTAGGCACCTTCTTCGCTGCCTAGGAGATGCTGCTGTGGGCATTTATTTGACCTGCTTGTGGCTCAGTTTGCTCAGCAATGAAATGAAGGTGGAGAGACTCCTAAGTCTATGGCCAACTGATAAAGTGGTACGTGGCCGGCCCAGGGCAGGTCCAAGCAGGAGATCACAGAGGGTGGCCCAGGTTTGTTCACAGGGGGTCCTATGACCTGGGAGCCTCCAGGCCATGTTCTTGCATCTGGCTCTACAGGCAGAAGAAGCTCAAGAGAGAAGTGGAGAAGCACAAGCTTTTTGAAGACTATCTGATTAAGGTCCTTGAGAAAATCCCCGAGGGTATGTACGCAGCTTCCTCGGAAAGCTCTTTCTCTCCGCAGCCGCCTCCTGGCTGCAGGACTGTCACACGGTGTGTGGCCTCATGGAGCTGCGAGCTGCCCATCTACAGAATGGGAACCCACAAAGGCCAACCCCGCAGTGGTGGGGAAGGGTGCAGACAGCCGAGTCTGACTGCTTGGTCCCAACCCTGGCTCCACTGTCGTTAACAGTGTGGCCTCTGGCAAGTTCTCAAGGCCTTGATTTTCTTATCTGTACAATGGGAAGAGCAATAGTTATGTGGACTAGATGAAGTCATCCTTTATAAGCATAGCACAGGGCCCCGCATATAGCTAGTACCTGGTAAACATTGGCCATTATTATTATTATTTTGTTTGTCTTTGGATTTGTGTTTTTGTTTTGCTATTATTAACTAAGAGTATAAGGACATCTGAGATGAGGTTTCGTGTGTTGTTTTATGAGTGCTGAAAACTCATTAGAAAAGGGAAGGGGAGTCACACATATTTATTGTCATTATTATTTCAACACCATCAATAATACATAATTATTACCATTTATTAAATATGTGCCCTGTGCTAAGCTTTTTAGTAAATCTTTTTATACCCCTCCTATGAGCTTTGCAGTACTGTGATACTCAGGCCCAGAGAGGGTAATGAACTTGCCCAGGGTCGCCCAGTCAGGAAGTGGTGGTGCTGGGCTCAGACTCTGGTCCATCTGACTTCATAGCCACTGTACTAAGTGCTAGAATGAGAGGAGTTATGGAAACTCCAAAACCTCTGCCTTGGAGGTCAGGGAAGGCTTCACGGAGGAGGTGACCTTTCAAGGGGCTCAAATGGGTGTAGCAAGGGAGAATGACCCTGCAGGCAGAGGGAGGGACACAAACGTAGGCAGCAGCCACAGGGCTGCCAGGTGGGTTTGGGGGTGGTGAGCTCCGGGCTGCTGGGAGATGTGGCTGGGAGGCTGGGGATATGTACTGAGTAGTGAGCCAAGGAGGAGTCAGGGCTGCAGGTCAAGCGAGGGGCTTGCGGCAGACCCAGCACCCAGTGCTGCTCGTGGTTTGGGACCTTCCTAATTCAGGAGTTTTGCCTGTTCGACTCATCCAAAATGCGTAACCATCAGGACTTGGTACTTGCTCACCCAGGACAGGAACAATTCCTATCCCCTTCTCAGGCTCCCCCAAGCAGCAACGTCTCCTTGAGGGCAGTCTCCTGCCTCGCTCGGTAGTCTCGATCCAGAATCCCTGTCTCAGTCTCCGGCTGAACTTTCCAAGGTCGAGGCTTCCTTTGAAGTGGAGGGGGCGGAGCAGGGGGGAAGTGGGGGTGCGCGCATGGATGGCAAGCCTGGAGAGCTGCGGGACCATCCTACTGTCTTGGGGTCAGCCTGGCATGGACTGTCCTGCACCTCTCAACTTTGTGGTCCCAGACGGAATTCCTGGCCACCTTGTTGGCATGGCCCATTGCAGGGGCACCCACCCATCCTGCCATGGCGCTGTCTCCATAGGCTGCACGGGATGGGAGGAGCCGGAGGAGGTGCTGGTGGAGGCCATGGTGAAGCACTACGGGAAGCTCTTCACAGCCAGCCAGGACACGCAGAAGCGCCTGGAGGCATTCTCCCAGATGAGCCAGGCCGTCCACCGGAGCCTGGAGTCTCTAGAGGAGGGTCACAGGGCTCTCATGGCGGTAACAGCTGCCTGAAGTCTGTTCCATTCCCGGTGGCCCAGGGAGCTGGGGGCGTGGGGCCCCCTTTCCTGCGCGCCTGGAGGGTGCCGTGGCATAATGCTGGAGGGCCCTGGGTGGGGCTCTCGCTCCTGAGCCGCCTTCTGTATCCCCTTTCTCTCCCCTCTGCTGCCTGAGGCTCAGCTCGTGCCTAAAAGTTGTTCTGCGTGGTAAAAAAGCCATGTGTCCTGGATGCAGAGGGACTGGGTCTCAGCTCCCACTTCAGCCACCCACTAGCTGTATGACTAGTTTGTACCCTCTCTGAGCCTTAGTTTCTGCGTCTGTCAAATGGGGGCAACACATTCTAGCTGCTAGGGTCCTTGCGAGGCACCAACACAAACTGCCTCAAAGTCAGTGCCAGAGACATCATTTCCCTCCCCTTCCTTTGTGGTTATCTCATAATAATTAGGACTTCCGCTGGGAGGGATGGGCACTCCAGGTGGAAGAGCCTGCCCTAACAAAGGCGTGGCGTCATGAAGATTCGTGCAGCCACGGGGACCGGGGACTTAGGGATCCCAGAGGAATGATGACGGGCTGGTTGGTTCACTGCAAAGGGCTACTGCGTGGTGTTTGGAGAGAGCATCTGCCCCCTAGTGGCAGTGTTGCAAGCCTGCACCACTTTGTACCATTTGGAGAATGTGATTCATTGATGGGCTGGGCACTGCCTGAAGCACTTTATGTGCTTTATCTCACTTAAATCTCACGCCAGCACCTCCAGGTAGGTGCTGCTATTCCAAAGGCTGGGACTAGAGAAAGGCAAGTCCAGCCATGCTATTCTTCCCATTTTCGGAGAAAAGTAAGCCTCAGAGAAGTGGGGCCACGGGGGTATGTCCTGCGTCTCTCTTTCTTTCTTTCTTTCTTTCTTTCTTTCTTTCTTTCTTTCTTTCTTTCTTTCTTTCTTTTTCTTTTCTTTCTTTCTTTCTTTCTCTCTTTCTTTTTCTTTCTTTCCCTTCCCTCCTTCCTTCCTTCCTTCCTTCTTTCTTTTTTTCTCTCTTTCTTTCTCTCTTTCTCTCTCTCTTCCTTTCCTTCTTTCTTTCCTTTTTTTGGGAGACAGGGTCTCACTCTGTCGCCCAGGCTGGAGTGTGGTGGCGTGATCTCAGCTCACTGCAGCCTCCGCCTCCCAGCCTCAAGCGATTTTCCTGCCTCTGCCTCCTGCGTAGCTGGGATTACAGGCGTGTGCCACCACACGACACCCAGCCTGTTCTGTATCTTTCAAATTCCTATCCCACAGGGCCTGGCTGGGAGCATGTGTTAGTTCCTTCTCATGCTGCTAATAAAGAAACACCTGAGACTGGGTAATTTATAAGAAAAAGAGGGCCAGGCATGGTGGCTCATGCCTGTAATCTCAGCACTTTGGGAGGCCAAGGCAGGCAGATCACTTGAGGTCAGCAGTTCAAGATCAGCCCGGCCAACATGCTGAAACTCCATCTCTACTAAAAATACAAAAATTAGCCAGGCATGGTGGTGCGTGCCTATAACCCCAGCTAATTGGGAGGTTGAAGCAGGAGAATCACTTGAACCCAGGAGGCGGAGGTCGCAGTGAGCCAAGATTGCACCACTGCACTCCAGCCTGGGCAAAAAGAGTAAGACTCTGTCTCAAAAAAAAAAAAAAAATTATAAAGAAAAAGAGGTTTAATGGATTCAACTTCCACATGGTTGGGGTGGCCTGACAATCATGGTGGAAGTTGAAGGAGGAGCAAAGGCATGTCTTACCTGGTGGCAGGCAAGATAACTTGTGTAGGGGAACTCCCCTTTATAAAATCATCAGGAACTGGGGCTCGGGTAAACTCCATCAGCCTGGACATGCCCTTTTCTGCATCTCTGGTGCCTTGAATGGCCCCAGCCACCCAGAAGTGTTCCTTCCTCCTATCCTGTCATTGCATATACTACCCTGGGGACTCAGACCAGGGCACATGCCCTGGAGGGTTTGTTGTACCAAGATGACCCGTTCCCTCTGCGTCAGAGCCTCAAGATCCGGCTGTATCAGCTGCAGAAGAAGTGTCACCGCAAGCAGGAGCAGTGGTGGAAGCTGGAGCACAGCATCACTTACCAGAAGGACATTGACTTCGACGCAAACACACACACCAGCAGCAGCTATAGTGTGAGTCCAGTCTTTCGGCCTGAGGGTGGGGCTAGGGGTGGGGAGGGGGAAGCTGATGCCTCCGTCATCACTCCCAACACACACACACACACACACACAGACACACACACACAGAGCCAGACACAGAGACACACAGACACACACACACAGA